GAGTGGGAAGGAGACTGAGAGGGCTTCCTTCCCCAGCTGACTCCTGAGGAGCACCTGTATCCTTGCGTCTTCCCAAGGTGCTGGCCTCCCAAGGCTTTGTCTTGGTTTGTTCTCTCAGCCCCACTCACCCCTTTGGTTCTGGCTCCTGGCTTTGGACACATGTGTGCCACACAACAAAAGTGCTATAATCACACCTTAACCAGCCTCGGCTTCCCCCCTCAAAAACTTCTGGGAGCTGCAGTTTGTTCAGGATGCTGAGAATTGTTAGGAGCCCCTCATCATCCCCCCCCCATATACACACTGAGCTTCAGTTCCCAGAGTGGTTTAACAGTCCATCCCTCTTCATGGCAAGCTCTGGACACTGTAGCTTTGGGAGGAGAGCACCAATTCCTCCTTGCAAATGCGCTTCCCCTGCCTGCCCGCCCCCACTCCCAGTCAGACTTATGTCTAGTCTCTAGAAAAGTTTTCCCCAACCAGGTGCCCTCTAGATGTTTTGGACTACAACCCCCACCAGCTGGGGTTGGTGGGAGTCCTAGTCCAAAACACTTGCATTCAGTTGGCAGAAGAGGGTGCTCTTCACTGGTGGATGCTGGCAGGGCTGTCCCCACCACCCTGGCTTGGAGCAAAGGGAGCTTGGTTTGCACATTTAGCCTCCTCAGCGCACTCTTAAAGGGGAGGATGACAAGATGTTGGCAAGGAATCAAAGATTTGAGTCATGAAATCTCAAGGTCTGAGGTTGGTTACCCAGAGCTATGGGTTCAAGAAAATCCATAGAACATTGGAAGGACTGTTCTGGATCAGGTCAAAGGCCCCACTTGTCCAGCATCTTCCTGTTTAGCACAGTGGCCGACCGGGACAGGAGAGCAGCAGCACTCTCTCATTCATGCTGCCTCTAGCAGGAAGTCATGCACAAACAGCATGGCTAGGTGTCAGGGGCTGGGCAAAGGAGGAGGAATGGTGGAGACCGCCTCCCCGCCTGACCCTTCCAGGGAGGAGGAAGAGAAAGACAATATACAGGGGTCTGCAGGAGGTCGCAGCTCAGAGGCAGATGAGGGGGAAAGTTGGGAAATCATGGGAGAGCCAGAGCATCACCCTGCTGACACATTGTCATTGGAAAGTATTCCAGACCCTCCATCTCCCAGAACCCGGCAAGCCTTCAAAGTAGGAGAGCAAAGAGTTCAAAGACATGGCAACACCTGTAGAGGAGGTGATGAAGATGACAAATGAGGAAGTGGGAGAGATTCACTTGGGACAACGCCACTATCCAAGAGGCTGGGTTCTATAGCCTCTCTCTGTAAAGACTGAAATAAAAAAGGACTTAAGAAACTTTTCCTTGTCTTTATACTTTCCTGGGCAACCAGCCAGGAGCCGCTGACAGCACCCTGACACTAGTAGCCATTGATGAATCCATCATGAATGTTTATTGTCTCTTTTTAAAGCCATTCAAGGGGCTGGCCATCCCTACCTCTTATACTTCTGCTTTATACTGTGTGAAGAACCTGGCTGCTGGATGCCTCTGATCCAGCATCTCTTCTCCTGGTGGCAGAATCTGAACCCAGCAGCAACACTCTCCCCACTTGGGCTCCCTAGCAACTTCTGTACAATAAATGCACCTTAGAAAAAGAAACAAAACCCAGCAACACTTGAAGAACTCAACAAAACTAGTTCAGAATAGCCAGGGAACCAGTCACAGCAATATTCAGGGATTTATTTTAGCCCTTCTTTAAGTAAGTGCGTTGTGAGCCTTGGGAAATCCTCAGAAATCAATCACAGAGCCACCACTGAGAAGATTCTTCTCCTTGTCATTGCTCATCTCATTGCTTGAGCAAGGTTTTAAACTGTGGCTGCAGCAACCTTCTGCAGGAATCTTATTGCCCTGTTTAAAGACTTGTATTTCTGGAGCAGGAGCTCTGCCCACCAGTGACAGCTCAGCCTTGTTCCAATGATCGTAAAGACTTCTTAAGCCCCAAGTACAGCAAGCACACATGGAGAGGACAGCATTCAAAGATAGTGGTTCCTGGGCGTCATGGTCTCTTTAGAATGCAAGTACTGGGGACCTACAATAGCCCCGAGTGTCCTGGTCCCTTCTTGCTCCTCTCTTCACATACAGACAGCAGCCATTTTGTGCAGGGGCTCCATTTCCAGACTTTGCACGCATCAGTGGAATGTATAAAAGCACAGCCCACCCCGTTCCTCATTCCGCCCCCTGCTCAGCCTCTTTCCGGTCCAAAAGGACCCGTGTGTCAATAGACACACCTAAAACAGTTGCTGCCTGTACTTAGTTACTCAGAAGTGGGAGGGGGGGTTCCTCTCAGTTCCCACTGGCCGAGGGAACTCATCACAAGAATTGTTGCTTTTCTCCCAAAAAGCACATCCTGTGCCAAAGACCTCCAACGCTTTCAAATCGGGGACAGGAAAACACACAGATATTTGCAGCATCCTTATTCTACAACTAGAAGCCAGACTCCAGGCCAAGGATTGCCAGCATTTTGGGGCCGCCCATGGGCACATTTGCAAACCGAGAAAACTTGTTGGCACCACACAGACGTCCCAGCTAAACTCACCTCTCCAACAACAGCTATAAGGCAGTGCTTCTTTCAAGCCTGATTTCAGTGGTGGAAGGGCAGAGAAATGGCACCCTGGGGTGCACCCACTGGAGCCATGTTGGTGACCCAGGCTCTGAGTTAAGAGATTTACAAAGCTCTAACCTTTTTCCAAGAGAGCTAAAGCTCTTCCACAATGTCAGACAGGCTTGTAAGTGGATATTGGCCTTCTCACTGGAGGTGAACAAGCATTGCTTCCAGCCAACTGGAAAGTTGGGAAGAACAAGGTTTCCAAGATCTAGCCTGTGTGGTGCCGTGGTTCACATGTCAAGCACTCCAATCTCCACTCAGCCCTAAAGCTCACTGGGTCCCCTTGAGCCAGACATTCACTCTCATGGCCTGGTTGCTGTGAGGAGAAGGGGGCTCCTTGAAGGAAAGGTGGGGTATTAGTATAATAAATAGGATGGGATGGGATGGGATGATCTACTTCTTCTGGCCACCATTATGTGAGACTACGGCTGCATCAATGGGTTCTTAGTCTAGCATGTACCACTTAAATGCCAACATCTCATACGACAAACTTGGAAAGGCAAGACCCTCCAGCATCACCTCTGAAATGTTAACCATTTTACTTTCGTGTATACCCCACCATTCTTCCTTCCATGGAGATCAGTGCAATAGACCCAAGGGAGCCCCAGCAATCTCCCATCCAGGAACGGACCAGACCTGGACCTGCTTAGTTTCAGCAAGGCTCTTGCCTCACGTGCCTTCAGTCTGTGCCCCAGGAAATAGGAACTTGCATGGTCAGGATGAGGAATTTGGCTAAGGATCAGAATGTTCACAAAGGAGTCAACCTTGACAAACATTTTTTAGTGGAAGTGAGGAATCTGGAATATATATTTTCTCTACTGATGAACCTGACTATGTATTTCTTTTATTCTCTCTGGTTCTCACTTTCCCCTGTATATATTTCCTTATGTCTCAATGATCCCAATTAGAAAACTACCACCTTGCGCACGGGGTGGGGGGAATGACCTCAGGCCTGGGAGCCATGTGGCCCTCCAGTCCTCTCTCCTTGGCCCTTGGGACTCTCCCCAGGCCATACCTCCTCTCCTCAGGCGACATCCCAATTTCGGCTTGTCTTCTGCTCTATCAGTCCCAATTGGCACCAGCCACCAGTGCCAGCAACTAGAGGGAACCATCTTGGCAATCCCTAGGATAAAGGAATCCACTGAAGGTGCTGCCCTGAGGGGCTTGGAGAGAGATATACTTCACAACTGGGGATAACTTTTCATGCATCTGATGAAGAGGACTTGAGTTCACAAAAGCACCGGCCACATTGAATCTCCTTGTTTCTGCACCAAGACTTTATTATTCATACTGCAGCAAACTATCAGTGAGGGGACAATATTTATAACATCCCTCCCCGACCTGTTGCACCTCAGATGTTTCGGACTACAACTCCCAATGACTTGAATTTTGAATATTTGCAAATGTGTGCTTCTATCCTAGCCTGCACTCAGATGTTGGAAGCTGGGCTGCCATTTTGAACAAAAAGTTGGATGTTCGCCTCCACATCTGTTTTGCCATCCAGGCTGAACCAGGAATGCCCTGGCCAAGCCAGGACTCAGGAGTGGCTGTTGATATTATTTTCCTGGTATAAAAATGTTCCCAATAACCACTCTGGACTTGGAAAGATTTGGCAAAGCAGCTGCCCTTGAGAGTCAAGAATTTGTTAAAAAGAGAGTTCCACTCCCTGCTTTGACAAAACGTGGCACACCCAAGCACTAATCCCAGAGGAATGCCCACCTTCTTCAATAGGCCTTTCATTTCCTTCCTGGAAAAATAAGCTTTGCCAAAAAGGCATAAACGTCACTCGTTTGAACTGAACTTGTGCTGGCCAAATACCAGAGCCGCTCTTGGCTCCAGGGGCATCCTGGCTGGATACTCCCTGCCACAGCCCGCCATACAGATATAGCGCTTACAGACTGCTTTTATTCCAGCATGCAACTCAAGGCACTGTCTATGGCCTCTGCATCATAAGAAGATGAGAGCAGTGGAAACACACCACCCGGGGGGGGGGGCGGATTAGGTCAGCTACTGTCTTGACACTTCACTGACCTTGCCACTTCTCCCCTGCAGCATTGACTCACCTGCTGGGAAGTCAGGTAACTGTCTGCCCTCCACCCCACTGTTTCCAAGTGCTGGTAGTTCCAAATGTAGCGGGCAGGGAGGGAGCCATCAAAGACTGCAAAATCTTCCACACCAAACTATGGATTACTTCCTACCAGCCCAGCCCACCCATTCCATAGGTGAGAAGCCCCTTCCTGTAAGCCAATGCCGCCGTCATTTTTGAGCTGGAAGAGGAGGGTTGGGTTGTTCTGGTTCCTGAGAAAACAAGTGTCCTCCATCCCTGGCCTAGGGCAGTTAAGCTCAGAAAAAGGAGGATCTCCTTACCAAATTCACTCGCACACAGGTGCTCCAGGATGGCGTCTGACTTCATCTCATTGTCGCAAGGAGGACATACTGCAGTGCCTGCCAAGAAAGGGGACAGCAGAGGATTAGTATGAAGGGCAAAATAATTATTTGGGGAGACTACCACTATAAGGGTAGTCCAATGCTGCCCCTGGGATGCTAGAGGGTTCTGTGGTGGAGCATCAGCTTTGAATGCAGAAGGTCCCAGGTGCTAGGAGATTTAGACTACCTGACCCCTGGAGGGGTCAATGCTGGGTGTGCTCCTTCAGCACAGCCAGAGTTTTTTTCAGGCTCATTGGCAAACCTGGAGAAAGCATGATGGCTATATTCTGCCTCTCTGGTTGGAGGCTGTGATGCTTCTGAATGCCAGTTGCTGGAAACCACAGGAGGGGCTTGTGCTCTTGCACTCAAGTCCTGCTTGCAGGTTTCCCATGGGCATCTGGTTGGCCCCTGTGAGAACAGGATGCTAGACTAAAGGGGCCATTGGCCTGATTCTGCAGGCACATCTTATGTTCCTATGAGAAGCAAAAGCCCTGACTGAGACCTTTGCTTAATGGGCTTCAGACCTCAAACCAGAGAGCCCTTTCCCATCTAAACAGACTGTCAGTATCAGCAATCAGAGCCTCCAAAGCTGAACCTGTCTTGTTATTCCCTGTCATTATCTTTACAATGGAATTGCTTTCTCTTCTCTCCCCCCCCCCTTCACATTTCACTTGCCTCTTCGCTCATTTCTCCTAAGATGTCTACACAGGCCCTGAAGTCAGCCATGAAAAATGTGGAGGAGAGCTACAAGATTTCCAGAGCAATATGTATCCAAAGAAAACTCCAGCTAGGATGACAGAAGTTCCCAGAACGCAGCCATACCTGAATCCCTCTGTGCGTGTAGGTCTGCAGGTGTCTATGCAACAAATGAAATCAGATTCCATTTTGTTTCTCTACCATGGACCTCAGCCAAGTGAAGACTGAACTGATGGTCCCCAACAGAGGATTCATAGTCTCTTCACAAAAGAACAGTTACAGACAGGGATGGGGGAGGAAATTGTTTCAATTCACATTTTGGAGGGCAACCAAAATGGTCAAAGGCCTGGAAACGATGCCTTATGAGGAACGGCTAAGGGAACTGGGCATGTTTAGCCTGGAGAAGAGGAGGTTAAGGGGTGATATGATAGCCATGTTCAAATATATAAAAGGATGTTATATAGAGGAGGGTGAAAGGTTGTTTTCTGCTGCTCCAGAGAAGCGGACACGGAGCAATGGATCCAAACTACAAGAAAGAGGATTCCACCTAAACATTAGGAAAAACTTCCTGACAGTAAGAGCTGTTCGACAGTGGAATTTGCTGCCAAGGAGTGTGGTGGAGTCTCCTTCTTTGGAGGTCTTTAAGCAGAGGCTTGACAACCATATGTCAGGAGTGCTCTGATGGTGTTTCCTGCTTGGCAGGGGGTTGGACTCGATGGCCCTTGTGGTCTCTTCCAACTCTATGATTCTATGATTCTAATCTATGTGACTGGCACTTTACAAAAGCAAAATGCAGCCATTCAAATTTATCTGAAATTTGCAATGCATTTCTCCAACCAAGGAATGGGTACAGAAGACGGTGGGAAAGAAAGGCATAATTGGTAGAAATAACATACAAAAAGGCATCATATTCGAGGAAATGTGACTATAAGGCAAAATTGCATACAAAAAGGAGCATATTATAACAAATTAGCACTATAAAATGCTGATGAATTTTCAGGAGGACTTAAAAAATAAAAATAAATTACCAAGCGTGGAAATGTAGAGAATGGAAGGCTAGGGGGGAAATGAGAAACAGAAAAATGGTAATTGTCAATTCAGAGATGGTTGGGAGGACCAAGCCTGAGTTTAGAGTGTTAGAGTTGAAAGTGATGTGACCTAGAGGTAAAGCAGCAAGTGGAGAGAGAGGCAAAGCCATCTCTGCTGTCTCTTTGAATTCAAGGCTACGGCTGTGGGAGATACAAGACCCTTGGCGGGGGGGGGGGGTAATACTCTGAACTCCACCATTGCAGGCTCAGGTGGTATAGATGTGTCAATGAACCATATCTCATAAAGGCACCTCAGTCTCCGCTGTGCCTTATTTCCAAAAGGAAACACAAACCCTTGGTAAGGAATCCCTGGAATCTGGCCCCCAGCGGAGACTGGGGTGGGGGGCAACAGTTGTAACTATTAATACAAGGTGTGCCGGAAGTGGATATTGCTCGCCGCACCAAAACTTGGGGTCATCCATTGAAGCTGAATGGTGGGAGATTCAGGACAGACTGGAGAAATCACTTTTCACACAGCACACAAGGGATTTGCCACGAGCTGATGACGAGCTGATGGCAGAATTTTTTGGCCCTGCTTTTTTCAGCGAGGAGAATGAGGGGAAGGGAAATAAATTAGGTCCAAAAATCACACAAAGCTCACTGTGTGATCTTGGGCCAGCCAGTATCTGTCAGCCTAGTCTGCCTCACAGAGTTGTTGTGAGGAAAAAATGGGGTGGGCAGAAAAAAACATGTAGAGCACCCTGACCTCTTTGGAGAAACATAAATGTAATAACAAGTGAATGCATAATATGAAGCCAATCCAAAGCTGCAGTGTGGAGATGTTCTTGGACTTGCCCAGCTAAGCCTGTGTTTCATAAGGTTTTCTTCCCACCTCTTTGCAGCAGCAGCATCCCTCCTCTGACCCTTTGCGCAGCACAGTGCTGCTCAAAGCAAAACCTTACTCCAGGGCGAGGGAGAGGAATGTGCCACGCTCTACTAATCGGCAGCTCCCACCCAGTGCATCCAGCAGGTCTGCAGGCTTTGCCATCGCCCTGCCTAAAGCAAAAGGAATTCAGGCAAGTCAGCATTTCAGAGGCAGGGACAAATCCCACTTCTCAGGCGTTAATAGAGGAAAAACTGGAAATGGCTTTGAATGTCTATATAGGATCTTCTGGAAGGAACACCAAGAGACTTACACAAACACAAGTCACCTTTGTGGGTTTGATATACAGTCATACCTCGGGTTAAATTTGCTTCAAGTTGAGCGTGTTCGAGTTGTGCTCCGCAGCAACCGGAGTAATGGAGGGCGTTACTTCCGGGTTTCACCGCTTGCGCATGCGCAGACGCTCAAAATGACGTCACTCACATGTGCAGAAGTGGCGAAAAGCGGCGTGCGCAGACGTGCCGTCGCTAGATACGTTTACCTCTAGATGCAAACAGGGCTCCGGAACGGATCCTGTTCGTATCTAGAGGTACCACTGTATTACAATACTTTTAAATGTGTTAGAACAGCGGTGGGGAATCTCAGCTCCGGGGACTTAATACAGCCCTCTAGGCCTCCGTACACATCCCTCACAACTTTTCCCAGACCACCCCCTCTCTGTATAGGTCATACCACTCCACACAGTTTGCACCCACCTCGGGCCAGAATGGAAGAGGGGCACTCAGGCTCAGCTGACAGCTGAGGAGAAGGAGAGGAGCAACAAAAGCAGGTGATGTCTGGACTGGGGAAGGGTGGGGCACTCTGCAAGCATAAGCCAATCCAAGGCTGATAAATTTCCGCTGCCAGGAAACACAAAATCCCAGCTATTCTGCGAGATCCAAGAGGTACAACGGACCATGTAGGATGGACCTCCCAAAGAACCCTTGCGCTCCAAACCCACCTTGGCCTTGCTCTTCAAAATGGGACCAAAGGGGGCAGTCAGGTGTGGACACATCCTAGCTTGTGCCCAGTCATGTATATCTTAAAGTCCTGCTTCAGGTTCTGTATCTTGGTCTGTGTTTAAATGGTGTCCTAACTTTTGGAATAAAGCTTTTGGGGATTCTCTAGCCAGGAGTCCATGTACTTTGTCTGAGAGTGAGAGCCAGGACACTTACAGGCCAACCAGGGACAGAGAATAAATTCATTTCAGTTCACATTTAAAAGCAAACTTACTGAATTCACACTTTCCAAAATAATGCATACCCTTCAACTGTCTTGGGAAAACTGGGATACCCCATTTTCTCACGTGAGAGTATGGCAGCCATTTTGGACACCACAACCTTGCCCCCCAAAAGTGCCTTTGTCGTACAGCACCACAAAATGAATGTTTTTGAGCCCCAGGCTCTCATGGGAGAGCACACCCCCCCCCCGGGGAAAAAGTGTATTTTGGGGGCCGCACTCTCGTGTTGGTCATGTGACTTGCCTGGGAGATGCATGTCCCAGTTTTTGGCCTGGACATGTTGAAGGGCAAACTGAAGTACAAGCCCTCCTTTAAAATTGCAGTTCTATCGCTATGTAACATTTACAAAAAAAAGCATATAATAGGGTAAAGTGTCCATCTAAATGTATATGTTGATGAAAATAACATACAAAAGCACATTACAGTGGTACCTCGGGTTACATACGCTTCAGGTTACAGACTCTGCTAACCCAGAAATAGTGTTTCAGGTTAAGAACTTTGCTTCAGGATGAGAAGAGAAATCGTGCTCCGGCGGCACGGCAGCAGCAGGAGGTCCCATTAGCTAAAGTGGTGCTTCAGGTTAAGAACAGTTTCAGGTTAAGAACGGACCTCCGGAAAGAATTAAGTACTTAACCCGAGGTACCACTGTATATTAGAGGAAATTCCTTTCAGTAGTGTCTATATTGGGAGAAATTTGCACTAAGATGTTGATAAAATTTCAAGACAGCTTTTTACAAAAAGAATTGCTAATCATTGTAAAAATGTGGAGAACAAAACTTAATATCAGAAAAATGAGAAACACCCGTTTCAAAAGCCAACAAAGTGAGGCCACGCACTATAGCTTCAGTCCAGCTTCCACTCTGGTCATGGGACCGAGATGGCTCTGGTCGCCCTAACAGACGATTTCCGTAGCCAGCTGGATCGAGGTGGGTCGGGACTGTTAATTATCTTAGATCTGCCAGCAGCCTTTGACATGGTCGATCACGAACTTTTAGACCACCGCCTCGCCGACGTGGGGATTCAGGGCACAGTCCTATAATGGCTGCGCTCGTTCCTTTCTGGTCGGGGACAGAGGGTGGTGCTGTGGGGGGGGAGCTAGCGTCGCACTACTCCTTGGTGTGTGGAGTACCGC